TTTGTCCCTTCCAATCGGACGAATAAAACGAGACTGCTTCGGATTCTGTATTTCCTGGGGTTTTTGTTTATCCGCCGGCCGTCGTCGAGCATCTTCAATCGGTTTAGGAACCGTAATCACCCCCAGCTCTGTGAGAGTTTTGGCTGGTCCCTGTTTAGTCACCCCCTGCTCAGCTAACTGATCACTAGGTGATTGATAGTTGAACTGCTTAGCTAACTGATCACTAGGTGATGGATAGTTGAAGTGGTACTGGTTTCCGCTTCTAGTGGCAAAAACTTCTTGTTCTTCTTCAGAAAGCGGGAAAACAGGAGCTTCATCGCCATCTTCTTCGAAAATTGCGCAAGTACCATTGCAGGACTTGCCTTTACCCTTTCTTTTTGAGGAGGTCGCCTACTGCTCATCTCTAATGAGATCCGGATGAACCCAGAGGATTTCGCCGTTCGGGGCTATGTGTGGCACAAGTCCCTTTTGGCGCTGCCCATGTGGGTCATCATTCACCGTCTTCATTCCCACTTTGGTGACGCGTTTCGGCTCGAACCATGTTGTGGGCACCGATCCAAAGCTGATTGACACTGCATTTGCTCCAACATTCACATCAATTAATGCCTGGATCTTATCCTTGAGGTGGAAGCATGATTTGGTAGGGTGGTGGACCGCTCTATGGTATGCGCAATACTTCGGATCCGTCACTTTGCTAGCCCCCTCTTGATCTACGATCGCCGGCAGTTGGATTTTGTTGTTCTCCAACAAGTACTTGAAGATGCTGGGCACCTCGTCATCTTTGAAGGAGTACACCTTAGGAAATCTTGGCTCCGCTCTTTGCTTCTGAGACCGTTGTTGCCATTGTGGCTGCGATTGTTATGGCGCTCTTTGCTGCTGCTGTTGCTGAGGTTGCAATTGGAAAGTTTGATTAGAATCAACTGCATTAGCATGTGCCTTACCTTTCCCCCTTGGGTTGAAATTCTGTGCTGGAGCATTTGTCGCCTGTTGGCCTCTCTCCGCCTTCTTTCTCCTAAGGAATCGCTCAGCCTGCTCCCCTCGGACCTTCAGATCCATCCACGTTTTGGACGGTGTTTTCCCCATTACTTCCAACACGTCCAAGGACAGATTATTATGGCAGGTCTGGAGAATGAATTCCTCGGTGATCAGGTCCCGGCAGTTCATCGCCTTGTTCCGGAACCTTTTGACGAAGGTGTCGACTAACTCCCCGTCCTTCTGCTTCTCATCGAGTAATGATCCGATAGATATCTCGGTGTCGTCGTCGAAGAAATTGGTGAGGAACATGGTCTCCATATCGTCCCAGCTATTCACGCTACCTGGCTTGAGGCGGCGATACCAATCGAAGGCGGCTCCGCGAAGAGTGCCGACGAATGACCGCACCATCAGAGGCTCACTGCCGGAGATTACCCCCAGGTGTGATTTGAAATAAATCACATGCTGAGTGGGTGAACCCTTCCCATCAAACGGCGTGAAGTTGATTAAGTTGAACTTTGCCGGATATGGGATTGATTCCCATTCTCTTGGATATGGGCAAGGAATACCTGTTTTCTTCACCTCTTGAGCAGAAATCAACGTATTGATCTTGTTCTCAAGGTTTTTGATCTTCAGACTTTCGCCTATGTTTTCGTTAAGACGATTCTGAGGCGGAAGTGTGACATTACGACTAGCATCCTCATTACCACCCCCTGCATTGACGGGAGGATTATTGGCATTGTGAGCTTCATCCGTATCCGTGTGCTCCTCTTCCTAAACGACCTGGTTACGGCGGCTTGGTTCGCCTTGCTGGTTTGACAGTGCCTGAATTTGTTGCTCATGCATTTCTCTCATGTTTTGCATGGCCATCTGCATTTCGAACCTGAAGGTCTCCTGTTGTTTAATCATGGCTTCTTCAAGCATCTTAGCCACTTGTTCTGCACTTATCATAAGTGCCTCGCGAGGTTGCCCCTCGCTGGATACTGTGTTGTCAGATGCGACCGCCGAGTCGGCGTCCGACTCTTCATCTTCTGAAGGTACCCTTATCCGAACCCTACCGTAAGTTCCTCGTGTAATGGCTCCAGACTGCAGACGAGTTAGATACCGGGGTACT